AGGGTTTAGGGTTTAGGGGCTGAAATAATCATCTATACTTTTCTGGGGCCTCCTTAGTAGAATGGGCCCCAAATCCCCAAAACAATTACCTATACTATTCTGGGGCTCCTTATGATAATTATAGTATCATGGGCCCTAAAACCCTATTCTAATTATGAAGAGGCCCCTATATTAGGGCTAGTTTTCCTTCGAAGGGTGGGAGGCGGAGAGCTAAACCCCGTGGGGTCCCCCAATATAGGTCCATTGTATACCCAAAAGCCCGTAGGGGTTTAGGGTTTTAGGGTTCAGGGCTTTAGGGCTCTAGGGTTTAGAGCTTTAGGGGTTTAGGGTTTAGGGTTTAGGTATGGGGGTTTAGGGTCTAGGGTTTGGGGCATCGAGACTCCTATACTAAGCCTTATAAGCCCCTTGACAAAACTTGATTAAACCCGTCAATAAACACCCAGGCACTACTATTCAAGCCCCTATGTTCGGTGCTGAGTAAACCCTAAGAAACCCTGAACCCTGAAGAAACCCTAAGAACCCCTAAACCCTTAAGAAACCCTAAGAAACCCTCGCTGAGGTTGGCGAGGCAAGCTCCGCATGGTCCTTGACATGAAGCCGTTTTCGATGTACTATATATATAGGAGCCTTAGTAACTACCTACACTATGTTGCGTCGTTCTGTTTTATAGAGTTAGAATATAATGTACCCCAAAACCCTAGTCTAATTCTTAAGGCCCTTATATTATTCAAACCCCCTTAAATTACCGGTCCAACCCGGTCGTCAACCCGAGCTCGCAGAGTCCACAGAGCGGAAGTTCAGGTCGAGCTCAGGCCTCAGACATCGAGTCTAATGTAGTAGGAGGCCTTCACGGAATTCGAGTAGGGTTCGGATATTATGATACTTAGGTTTAAATAGGGGGCCATAATAATTACTTGCATTATTTTGGGGGCTCCTCATTATAAGCATACTATAAAGGGCCCCAGAACCCTCTTCTAATTATTAAGGCCCCTATATTACATATGGACTATAGAGGGGATGTTCTTCGCAATGGCTCAGACCCTGTTGTTTTATATGCACAGGCCCTTTGCGAAGCAAACCACCAGCTTTCCACCCGCACGAAGCTGTGATCTCGGACAGCTTTGTAGAAAGGAAACGACAGGACTGTGGAAACTGCACCCCTGATCGAAAGAACCATGATGAAAGTCTTATGGTCTCCCTTTTTTGGTACCCCTTAAACAGTTCCGGCTTTTGCGCTCCTAAACCCAAACCCTAAACCCTAAACCCCTAAACCCGTAAACCCTAAAACCCTAAACCCCTAAACCCCTAAACCCAAAACCCTAAAACCCTAAACCCTAAGCCATGTCTGGCGGAGGTGGCAGGGGAAGAAGGGAGGAGGACAGTGGTCCCGATCCAAGTCCTTCGACACCTTCTGCCCCTTGGGGCCGACTCTGCTGCCGGTGATGGGCCCCGGGCTGAGGGTTTAGGGTTTAGGGTTGAGGGTTTAGGGTTGAGGGTTGAGGGTTTAGGGTTGAGGGTTTAGGGTTTAGGGGTTTAGGGTAGATAAAGATATTAGTAGAAGTATAAGCCCAAAAGCCCTAGAGGTATAAACACTAAAAGCCCTAGAAACATCAACCCTAGAAGGCCTAGACAAATTATCAAAGCCTTATAAAGTGGCCACAGAAGCCTTGAACCCGAAACCCGAATCCCGA